AAGAGAGAGAGAGAGAGAGAGAGAGAGAGAGAGAGAGAGAGGAAAGTGAGAAAACAAGTCACCAAGTCTGGAACTCGAACCATGGTCGGTTGTATGGGAGTGTCCAGCGCCTTAACCACCACACCACTGGCTGTCCCCACACATGACTATACCTTGTCACCTACAGGGAACTTTTCATTTTTATATCTCTTCAATGCTTGTTTGTTTGTTTCCTGATCCCCCCTCTGTTACCCAGCCTAATATCCTTAATAGAATTTCTCTCGAATTAATAAAATACAATTTGTGTAGGAAAAAAGAAAACATACAAGCTCTAAGAAGACAAGGGCCTTGTGAGGAGGCGGGGCAGGTCGTTGGGGTGCAGGTTAAGTTTCAGAGGCATTCAGTGGTCAGTAAACTAACGCAAACCAGTGGTGAACAGCAGGGCGCCTCAGTAAGGAAGAATGATTCCAGTCTGGCCGGCACCCAATCAATAAGACAGCCCTGCCCAGTGGGGAGTGGAGGCTGAAGATCCCAACGCTTTCCAGCAGCTGGGAGGAGACCTGCCCTTTCTCCAGCCCTCGTTCTTACGGACCTACAGTCTAGGGAGCTGTGGCTCGCGTCCGTCACGTGTGACTACGGCCGTGTGGCTTTAACCATCCTTTGTGGTACACCCCTCCCTCCCTCTGTCCCCCAGCTCCTTTCTGTCTTTCCATTTAGCTAAGTGGGCACTAGCGTGTCACTCAGCAGCGGACGGGGAAGGGGCGGGGCACCTCTGCTCTGTGGGCACCCCGGGTCTCCACTAGCGGCATGGTCCATGGTCTCTACATCCCAGCAAGGGATTCTGCTCTTAGAGTTTTCACCAGTGACCCATGCAAAAGTTCTTGCATACCTTATTTGATAGAATTTTATTGTTTTTATTTATTAGTATAAAACTAAGGGAACCAGCAGTTAGCATAATGGCTATGTCGCTGGACTCCCACGTAGTCGACCGCGGTTCATGTCCCGGATCCGGTGGCTTAAAAACTCACGC